TCAGCATCCAGATGTTGGGGCAGCAGTCTCAGCAGACATGCCCAGACCTTCCTCTCCATTTCCACCACTTCCAGCTCTTCCACAGGAATAATGATGTATTCCTAATCCAGCCAAGAGACTCCCCACTGCTTCCTGGGTATAAACAGTCAGATGACACAAGCACGTCTGGATCCTTCCAATATGGAGTAGTAGCTGCTCAGGTTGTTATTTTATCTCTTAAGTGGTGAACATACTCTGACACTTAGAGATGGAGACAACACAACATGTGTGCACGGTCACAGAGCTGGCAGGCATGAGGATATCCGCTCAGATCCATAAGTCACTTGGACTTCAGGAGACTCTGACAGATGTTGGGGAAACTAACACCCACATTAGGCTGAGCTCGACTCCCTTATTATTGTGATACCCACAGTTTATGCCCATAGGTGAGGGCAGGAATATATTTATATCATCTCTTTGTATTAAGGTCTCAACCTTCCACCTGAGGCAACACCTTATTCTGAGACCACACTGAGCATTCCCACGTTTTCCACCTACGAACTCTAAAAGATTGGTGCTGACATTTGTGGAATTTTGCTCTAAATAAACCTTAGATAAATATCCTGCAGATATTTAACTTCATTCAGTGTCAAACAAGAAAACAGCGAATGTAACCTGTTAGCAGGTCAGCTAAAGAAAACTGAATTCACACCCGAGTTCCCATCTAACCACAGTTAAAGCCAAACCGAGTCACATCACATATACAGACATTCAGTGTGGTTCTCTATGGAGGCTGAAGGCTGTCAAAGGTCATAATTTACATGATTTGTCTCCAAATGAGTTTAAGCACAGAGAAATTAGCTGATTAATTCTAAACACTGCCGCCTTAAAAAGCAGTTGTTGTTTTTTTAACTCAAAGCCTTCTACGCTACAAGACACATTCATGTGGTACTTTATGCTTTCCACCACTACAGCCAGTTTACACCTATGTCACAGAGAGGCTCCAGCCAACCAGGGACTCGAACGTCAAGCCATCATCTATGAGGGGCCCTCAGTACCGATGCACCACAACAATGACAATAACTCAGCATTGTCGATAAAACTTGGGTTGATTTTTTGGAATATTCAAACTAAAAACAACCCGTTCAGCACTGTGAGCTGTAAAAGTTGGATCTAAATTTGATAGATTGAAAAGTTTTTCTGTCTGGACGCTCGAGACTCACTCCAAACTGCTCCCTCTCTGGTCAGATGCTCTTTATTGTTCGTTGTTGGGCACATCTTCATCATCCATGTTCCTCTAACACATTAAAGTCCTGATCATCATCGTTTCTATAAATATGAAAACTATTTGTTCTCTTGAAAAGGAAAAGCTGACAAAGGCTCAGTACCTGCAGACAGCCTCTCAACTTCCATAAATTTACACTATCAACAGTGATACACAGACACGAGCAGTAGTGGTTAACAGGAAATCATGATTTGGCTCATTCTTGTCAAGTAAAGCAAAGAATTCATAACTTTATACACTTTATACAATAAAAGTTCATTCAGAGTATTTCAAGTCAAACAGAAGGTTTTAGTCAGACTGAGACTGTTAAAGAAACTCGTTCAGGAGCTGCAGAGCTTAAACCAAGTCCTTTGGTCCTACCAGTCAAACAAACTTGCAAACATCAATTGTGAGTCTGAGGCTGTCGGTCTGGATGAAGTGCTGCCTCTGCTCGAGTCAGTGTTTCCTGAAGAACTGACTGTAAAACAATTAATTCCTGTGGGCAGCTTGAATGAAAGTAGAGCACAGCTTCAGTCTGACAGCCCGAGTGCTGCTGCCCCCTAGCGGACGGGAGCGTGTAGAGCGCCGCCCACACCCAGATACTCGAGGTTCTCTGCTGCTGGGAGGAACAGATGGTTCTCCGCTAACGTTGCATCTTTAATGGTCTGAGGCAGGAAGTCAGCCTGGTAGTCTGGATTATCAAGGCTGTGACTGGTCACCAGAGGGCGCAGTTTGAAGGACGCGTTCAGGTATTCAGGTCCATAGGGCACTTGGGAGGTGTTCAGATCCTCCAGCGGGTGGGGAAGTGGGCCCCAGCCCAGACTCAGGTCCTCATAATTAGGGTTTAAAACCTTGGAGAGCCGGCTGCTCTGGCTGGTCTCACTCACACTCTGGTTCATGTACTCTGGAAGACAGAGCAGGAAAATGCTGTTTAGGTATTAATTAATTTTCTGTCATGAAGACAGTTTGCTGTCTGGCTATTAATTGATTTACATCTCCTAATTATTTGTCACTGGTCTGAGTTATGTTTGATGATGGATACCGTGGTCGATGAAGTCCTTTTCCAGTGCGCTGTCAGTGGGATCGGTGATGTACCGCAGGGCGAGGCTGTTCTCTCCGGCCGGATGACCATTCTGACACGAACGAAGAGAATCAATGAAACACCTCTGTTTCATCAAAGCATGTTCATTAGAATGAAACACAGAGGAAATAAATAGCTGTACTTCTGGCCACTTATGGCGAGTGGAAGTAGACGGTTTACATTTACTTGGGTCACCAGGGGGCGCCGAGCACTTTCTTAAGCACAATGTTTTTTCATGTAACACTTACTAAAATGTTTGATAAAACATATAGACATGTAACAATGTG